CAGCCTAAATATCTGCATTTTAGAGAACACTAAAGATGGCCTTTCTGTATAAGTTATCCTGAAATAGGCCGGATGCGGTGGCTCAACGCCTGTAATCCTAGCACTCTGGGAGGCTGAGGCAGGAGGATTACTTGAGGTCAGGAATTCGAGAGCAGCCTGAGCAAGGGCGAGACCCCGTCTCCACTGAAAATAGAAAAAATTAGCTGGGTGACTGAAAATAGAAACAAAAAATAAGCCAGGCATCATGGCAAGTGCCTGTAGTCCCAGGTACACAGGGCACTCAGGCAAGAGGATTGCTTGAGCCTAGGAGTTTGAGGTTGCTGTGAGCTATGCTGATGCCACGGCACACTATCCAGAGTGACTGAGTGAGACTCTGTCTCAAAAAACAAAACAAAACAAAACAAAACCAAGTGAGCCTGAAATCCATGAAAGACATATAGACAGATTCTGTATCCATTCTCAAAATTGAAGATAGGAAATCAGAAAATATTCTGGAACATTCCATGAAACATTATCCTCTGGGTTAATCTGGCTTGCCTCATCATGGCAATAGAGAAATCACTAAAGATCACAGTTAAACAATAACAAAAAAGGTTCTCAACTTCTGTGAGGAATGATGTTTAATTCTCAACTTTCCTAAAGATGTTATAAGAAAAACGTATGTAATTAGAAGAAACAAATGGCAGAATGACAGAGTTTAGAAAATAAACGTATTATAAAGATATACAACTGTAATAAAATTAATTATAATGAAAATACAAATGAAAGCTGTGCACTGAAACCACTCTCATAAACATTTTATGTTACTTAACCAGCTATGGATGAACAGTTGACATGTTACATTTCATACATACTTGACTTCTGATTTGATGTGATATCTTCACTGAAGGCCGGCGTCACATCTTCTAAGTTAAAGTGACGTGGTGAAACCTCTACAAAGGCCTCTGACCTTGGTTGTTTTTTCAAGGTAGTAGCCAGTTCTTGTAGATGTCTCACAAGTACCTGATAAGTTATTTTTGTTTCTCATTTTACAAATTACATTATTATTAAATCATGTTAAGAATATCAAACTTTAATGTATGTACTTTGAAAAATATGACCACATACATCGATTCACTTTCTTTTCCTCGTGTGTACACATTCCTGTGTACGACTGAATTCAGTTGAGATCACAGAGGGTGTCAGCTTCCTGCCAAATTGGTATTCTGTTACTTAATCAACAGATTCAGCTCACTATTCACCTGTCCCCTGAGGAATCTGCAATGGTTAACGATCTAATGATGTCTCTGAAAGAAATGGGTACCTGGGAGGGACTGATGGGGGTAGATTCTATACTGTAAAATGTTTCCCTCTTTTTTATCAGAAGCTTAAATCAACCTTGGAGTTCCTCACATATTCAATCGCCTGCTCAAATCCTTCCCATAGATTCCTCTGTCAGAGTAAAAGTAAAATTCCAACAGCCTTCAAGGTCCTAGGATACCTGGCCTCCACCCGACTCCCCGACTGCAGCTCCTACCTCTCTCCCCTACTCACTCCATCCCCATTCTACGTGAATCCTGCCACACCTCATTAGTCTGAAAATAGGGATCTAATGCCAAACTCACAAATCACAGATAGCTACAATTATCTTTGTACTAGACAAAGTTATATCCAAATCGCAGTCACTGAGCCTTGAAATGACAATTGTGAGCACATTATGTGTAAAAATATACAAAGTAAATGAAAAATAATACTGAGAAGATTAAATCAATTATCGTTTTGCTAAAATTCATGTTTGTAGTACATTATGATTTTTTTTTTAAATTTCAGAGTATTACAGGGGTACAAATGTTGTGGTTCCGTGAATTGCTTTTATGCAATTTGAGTCAAAGTTACAAGTGTGCCCGTCACCGAGATAGTGTGCAGTGTACCCATGAGTTGTGAATCTACGTGTCCCTTCCTCCCCCTACCCACCTGATTGGTTTCTGCTGAGTGTTACTACCATTTTATGATTTAATAAAAGTAAACTGCCATTGAAGAATTGAGAAGTCATAAACAGTACATCATTTGAGATTGAAATATTTTAAGATATAAGTCAAATGGACATGAATTAAAATAAAATTATGCCAACTAAAACATAAAAAGTTACTGAAATCTAAGTATTACAAGATACAACAGTACATTTCAGTTCATCTCTGATATCTGGACTTAACTGTCAAGAGTAACCCACTTCACTGAATCTAAATTTCATAATACTCATTTCAGGTACAAACATTTCCATGTCTCTGCTTCATCGTGGCATTAAAACGGGGCAACACAAAGACATTAATATTGCATTTTCCGCAGTGTAAGTCTGCATTATTAATATTAGTCTATACTGATAATTTGTAACCTCTCAGAATTTCGTAGGTGACATGACGTCTTTCCTCAAAGAACAGCATCTCTCGGCTCTAATATCTGTTTGCTGGAAACAAGGTATGCTTCTAGGCTGACAGAGCAAATACTTTTATCACCTAGATATTTTTATATCCAACTGGATTCAACATTTAGCCACAATGAAATACTACTTGAAATTTGCTTTCAGGAGGTTTGAAAAACATTTACCCTTCTGGATACTTACTTTTCTTTCTGCGGACACTTCTTCCAAATGACACATTCTTTCTTTTAAACGATCACATTCATTGATGAGCTTCTGAAGTTTTTCTTCTAGAAGCACACTTTGCTTGTCACTCCCAGCTTGACTTTGTTTCATAATATCCTGAAACTGGTCCTGGATATCAGTCACTGTCTCGTCTTTCTGGGCAGTTTTGTTGTGAGCAGCGTGTAGTTGTTGTCGAAGCAACTTATTTTCTCTTTGTAGTTCGCATAATCTCTGCTCTAGAGATTCCTGCTTGCCAACGTATGGATTCACTTTGCCTTGGTCACTGCAACACGTTTGTTCCATTTCCTTCATTTGGCACTGTCTTTGCCTTAGGTCTCTTTGTACACCTTCTAAAAACAACGTCTTTTCTTGGAGGAGCTCTCTTGTGTGGTGGAGCTCCGTTTCTAGGCTATCGATCTTACTTTCTACTTTAGAAAGTTTTTCAGAAAGAATCTCGTACTTTTCTTTTAGATTAGACATGTAAAAATTCATTTTATCTTGTAAGTGAAACCATTCATCTTTTGCCGTGTGGAAAGCAAGTTCTAGGTGTTTTCTCGATGTCTCACTTTCATCAAGATCACGTGTAGTGGCAGTCTGTCTAGAACGGTATGATTCAAGTTCGTGTTTCAGTCTTTCCCTGTTTCGTGTTTCACTCTCCAGTTTACACTTTAGCATTGCATTCTCGGCTGTGAGAACACGAAGCTGCTCACCATACTGAGATACAGGTTTAGTTAACGTTTCCAAATTCAGTATT